TCGGAGAAGCGGTCGTACGTCCACGAATCGATCAACGCATACTTGTCTATGGTCGTTCCTCCATTTATTATATTTTCTTCCCACCTTGTCAAATCATCTTTTCGTGTTAAACGTCTTGACCCTTTCATCTGCAATGTTTTCAGGCTCCACGTGGGATGTTCTTTTGATAAGCGAACTACTTTAATTTTCGTGGACAAAGGAATATATTCCACATTCGATTTCTTTTCTTCGGGTTCGTATTGCTCATCCGATGAAACATTTTCTTCTTCCACTTCACAGTAATGTTCGTCTTCTTGTTCATCACAATGGATCAGATCTTCATCAAGAACGAGCTTCTTCTCGCCTAACATTTGTATGGTATAATTGTACAAATGTTCTCCAATCGCCTTTGCAGCTGCCGGAATTGTACCTGACGACTGCGTGTCGATCATGTCCTCCTCTTCAAGAATTTTCATGCAATGCACGAACGCATCTTTCAACTGGCGTTTCGCAACCGCACTATGAACTGATAGTGAATCGAATTCGTCATGCAGTTCATCTGCAGTAATCGAACAACTCGGATTCACCTCCATTTTTATGATAAATATCACTAATGAAATTGATATCACAAAATTTTCCACGTATACCACTCGTTCTTCCAACTTCACAATCAGCAACGTTTTACCAGTGCGAAAGTCAATTGCCGAGTGAGGCCTGTTTCAACGTGTCCACCCCCTAAGAATAGAATCCAGGTAGATACCTGGCCCTCCCCTGTTTTCACCCTTCTTTGTCTTTTCGAACCTTCTGTATTTCGTCCTTTGCTCTTGTCCGTACACTTGTACGTACAATATTTGTTATAAGAAAGAAATCAATGTAAATAAATGTATTTTTCTTTGTTACATTTCCTTGAAATTCTACTGTACATGAAAGAGTATAAGAACTGTGGAAAAAAAATAAAAAAGAGAAAGGAGAAAAAAAGACACTAACGGGACTCGATCGAGCGATCTAGCGGTTATGGAGCTCGAACGTTAACCACTCAACCGCCGCCGCTTCTTGCTTACAGCCATAACGCAAGAGAAGATAAGCGACACATGGAACTTCTTTTGCGAATATCTCGAAAACGCGTGGCCAGTTGCGGGGCTATATATATATATATATATATTGAAAAAAGAGAAATTTTAAATGGCCAGTCAATCTCTTAGGCTCGAGTGCCCAGCCGTGACCTTTCGTCCAATGATTCGATTAAAATACTGGGTTGGGTGGGTTTAGAAAGATCAACGATCGATCTACTTTTACAGACGAAACCAGCAACAGCCGATGTTTATCTAATTCCTTTACGTGTATTTTTATCCAACAGTCAGTAGAACAATACGATGCGATGCAGTTTAATTTAAAATTGTTCTATATAGAATATAAAATCGCGAGAACAGTGGCTGGGCAGTCTGACCTCTGAATCATGTTCGTGTGTGTCTTATCGGTGAATCCTGGTAACGGAAATCGACCAAAAGAAACCTACAAACCTATTTTTGTTACACGTGTATGATACACGTTATACATGTATGATATACGTCTAGCATCGTGAGAAGCGGAGGCAGCTTGAAACTAATTTGAACACATCGTGCGAACAAACGCGTATGCTAGTCACTTTATAACAACCGTTTCTTTTTTCTTTTCGTCGTATTTTCCCTCGATAAACTGTGAGAGAAAGAGAGAGAGAAAGAGGGAGAAAGCCGGTTGGATTTGGAAATTTTTATTACTGTACGGAACGAGGAAAGATTATTTATTCACCGTGCAATTGAAACTCGGTTTTTAGAAGCGACGTGCTTATCAAATAATATCACAATCGTGGAGGGTGAAGGAGGAGGAGATCATGCAGTGAGAAGTGTAAAATTAACAGTAGGAATCGTTAATAAAACTGTAATGTCGTTTACGAATTTCCGTTCTCTTAAGTTTGAACGGGTCTTTATTTATATGAAAATGTTATGTTATTGCGATCGAAGAAGTATTTGCAGATACTGTTACCGTCTGGATTCCAGACATCCGTGCCATCGTTCCGTTCAACGACTTTCGAGAACTTAACATTTGAGGTTTCGTAGTCTTCCATCATGAATCTCCAGACTGTGATATTATTTCCGGCGGAGTATTTCATTCCTTCCACTCCAGATCCACGAATGTAAACGCAGAGCAGGCATCTCTTACCGCGACAGTTTCCAGTGAGAAGAGAAAAATATGTAAAAGAAAAGGAGAGGATAAAACGATCTAAAAATCTAAATAGAGAATCGAGTTGTTCCCATGCTATATCAAACCTGACTCTATTTCATAGTTGATTAAAAATCGTTAAAATATGAGCGAATCAGAAGTAGTGATCGGCGCTGGATAAAATCCGATCGTTTACGTTCAAATAAAAATGATACATCCGGCGTCCACGCATCCCACACATCGTGGATGAACAGCACGCGTCCAGCCAGATGTGTACGACAAAAGCCAAATTCAATTGTTCGCATCTGGTAAGTGCAAGTCTGGAAACTATATAAACTCCCTTGTCATCGGTTCAAGTGTTCTGCACGTGAAGAATTTTTAAGAATGTCAAGGAAACGAAGGTCGGGTTCAGTTGAAAAATACAAACACATTTTCTGTAACCACCGAGTGGGGAAAGATTTTCTGGAAGATAATCGGCGAGCGAGTGCTCAGTTCGCTTTGCCTTGCGTTACTGAACAAAACGATGGGTGTCCTAACGAACACGGAATATTCTAATATGTTCGTTATTTACGCGTAAGTGAGTTATAATCCGAGAGCGGCAGTGGAATTGTTCCGCGAACGGTATTCCGAACGGAACTAAGAATTAAAATAAAAACATGTATGCAAATTTTAAATTGCAAAGTGCAATGTGACAGTGGATTTGTAAAATGAAAAGTAGCAGTGAATTTGGAAAGTGTAAAAGTGATAATTTTTGTCTTGTGAACATTTGTTAATGGGAAAGTGACAGTGGTCGTGATGATAAGGAAAAAATCGTCGGGTGCAGATCACTGACTTACTCCAAGTATCAGCTGCTGCGAGCCATGTGTCCTATCTTCGAGTGCCGAAGGTCGACCCATTGACTCATTGACGTTCTTCTAGGAGCAGGTGCACTGACCAACGAAGAAATAAGTTCAACTCTGATTCTTTTCACATTTTTCATAACTTTACGTATCCTGTAATTTGTAAAGTTGTTTGTTATTTCATTGAGCATGTTACATTTGTTCAGTGAACGTAAGTAACGACTAATCCCTTTCTTTCTTCTGATATTTAACCAATTTGTTAGTTCGTTTTTGCATGCAACATTTCTTTAATCCTATGCTCTCGTCACGAGCGCGACATACGGGCGCGGCAACGCACGAGGCGGTTATCGCGCTCCTGCCCGCCTTGTATACTCGCGCTCTGATTGGGCGGGGATTTTTGTTAATAACTCAATAACCACGCCTCGGACAACTTTTTCGCAAAGGAAAAAGTTGTTTAAAATCACCTCAGCTCCTCCTCATTTTCGGGCGTAAAGGGAGTTCTGGGACACCCTGTATAT